GCCATTAACATTTAAGGTTACAATTGAAATATGATTTGTACTTCCAGTCATGTTTATTTATTTATTTATTTTAGTTTGGCTAGTTTTTACTTTTTGGTTATTTTCCTCCCCCTTTACTGAGATACCTCCCGCTATTAGTTTTGGGCACTATTTTTCAATTCCTCTTCTTGTAGTATTTTGCTCAAAATGCTTTGCAGTGCTGGTTTTCTGGCTGCGAATTCTTTTAGCTTTTGTTTATCGTGAAAGATTTTAATTTCATTGTCAAATCTGAAGCTTAATTTTGCTGGATACAGTATTCTTGGTTGGAATCCATTATTTTTCAGCGTTTGAAATACATTGTTCCAGGATATTCTCGCTTTCAAAATCTGTGATGGAAAATCAGTCGTTAACCTAATTGGTTTACCCCTGAATGTAATCTGCCCCCTTTCTCTCATAGCTTTTAATATTCTCTCCTTGTTCTGTATGTTGGCTATCTTCATAATTATATGTCTTGGAGTTGGTCTATTACGGTTTTGAATGTTTGGGGTCCAGTAGGCTTCCAGGATTTGGCAATCCATTCCATCTTTCATCTCTGGGAAGTTTTCTAGAATTATTTCATTTAATATGTTGTCCATTCCTTTGGTTTGAATCTCTATTCCTTCTTCTATCCCGATGACTCTCAAATTTGGTTTTTTTATGACATCCCATATCTCTTGAATAGATTGCTCGTGGGATTTAAGCATCTTTTCTGTGTTGACTATATTCTTTTCAAGTTGATAAACTTTGTCTTCATTATCTGATGTTCTGACTACTACTTGATCTAGTCTATTTGTAATATTCTTGTTTGAGTTTTTAATGTGGTTTATAGTTTCCTGCATTTCTAGGATTACTGTTTGATTTTTTTTAAGATCTCTATCTCCTGGTAAAGCTCATTCTTTGCCATTTGAATTTGTTTGTTTAATTTATTTTCAAAATATACTTTTATTGCTTGGACTTGCTGTCTCATGTCTTCTCTAATATTCCTTTCCATCTGAGTTAGGTATGCCTTGAGTTCTTTCCCTATCCATGTTTCTGATGCTTCTAGGTCCTCCTGTAGATTTAAGTTGTCCTGCATTGTTTGTACTCCTTTTTTCCCTTGTTTTTTTCATGATGTTCACATTACTTTCCAGTTCTATTTGATTGCTGTGTTTCTGCTCTCTTCTATAGATTTGTTTTGGTTTTGTATATATCTGTTGTCTCTCCTTTGTGTTGGTAGACTATGCCTGCTAAAGTGGATTCTGCTGGGAAGGAATTCCGACCGCCGAGCTCCAGTGACGTCACCTCTCTGCTATGGCGGGCCCCAGGCTCCTTGCCGGGGTGTCCGAATGGGGGGGTGGGACTGGACTGTCTCTGGTTGGTTTCAGCTCTAGGTCGCCGGTGGGCGGGCAGTCTCCAGCCGACCAGTCGCGCGGGCCTTGCCTCTAGTCATCTGGTTTCTCCTGCTAGTCCTGGTTTCCTCTGCTAGACCAGATTTCCCCTGAGTGATGCCTCTCGGCAGTTCAAACTGTACTCTGGGCCTGCCGTTTGTTGGGTGTGGAGGGTGGCTGTTGGGAACCCCGGCACTCTATTGTTTTGATTTTTTCCGCTTGCCCCTCCCCCAGCGCTGGCAAGACAGGTTTCGTTTTCACTGCTGATGGGAGGGTGAGTTGAAGGTCAGGTGTCTCTAGTTTTCCCCACGTCTTTATGCAGGCTCGCTCTGATAATCCCTCCCCTGGAAAGCATAGGAGAGATTTTATGCCAATTCCCCGCTGTATGGGAGATGAGCTGAGTAACACACACCTGTTTTATTGTTGCAATCTGTCAGAGAGTGGCGGTGGTTACTTCAGCTCTCCAAGATGGTGGCCGCTGGTTTCCTTGGTGGAGTTTCCGTTGTGGGGGATAGAACTGTACCGCTTCCTTCCCCGTCTGAAATCCCAAACTCAGCCCGAGGCTCAGTGAGGGCTCAGCCGGCAGGATTCCACAGAATCCGCAGCAACGTTTCTCCCTGCTTGCTGGTCGCTTCTCGGTGGCGCCCCGCCGTCTGTAGCTGCGGGCGGGCTGTGCAGATCAGTCAGCCCGGTTCTCTGGTCACACAGTTGGCTCGTGTTTGAGACTCAATTACCGGACCTGGGTGCTGGAAATCCTTCCTCTAGGTTTCGGTGCACCCCCATTTGGCTGTAATTTCCTAACAAGATAGTTTTTTGTCTTTCTAACTCATTATTCACCTTCGCAGTGGCGCGATACACGGGGTGTGATGCACTCTATTCGGGGCCATCTTGGAGTCCCCTCGTATTCAGTTTTTCAATATGTTCAAAGATGGGATATTGGTTTGGGCAGCTCTGATTTAAGTAAAACATGGAAGTGTATTTTCACATAGACATGTCAGTGAAATTTATTGTAATTGGATAAAGTTTTATGTGCATATTTGCAGATAATTCATTATTTTAATACAATGGCATTCTTTATGATAATTTCAAGACTATTGACTCATTGCAAAGATTCAGGGATTAAGAAAAATGGCTACGTTTTTAATAATGTTGATTTTAAAATTTATACTGAATTCCATTCTGCAAGTTGGAAATTTTATGAGTTAGTAATTATATGAGAATTTGGCGGCATCATAAAATATATTTTTTAATTTGCCTAAATATTATATCCTTGACCTTAGTGCTGCTGAACTCTTTATAATAATAACAGCAATAGTGATAAAAATTTTAATTTTTTTATTGCAACTCAATGTTGAAAGCCATTCTTCCATACCACTCATTTAAAATTAAATGAAACATCTTTTGTTATTCACCCCTGATGATTTCTGGCAAGTTTTATACAAGCTTCCATTTCTGCTGTGTGATTACCTAGAAATACTAGAATTAAATGAGAGATGTTTGCCATGCAGACTTATAAATCTGTCCAAGTTGCCTTAATCAACCTTGCTGAAGTTTGGTTTCAAGTAAGAGAAAGCTGGTTTTTAACAAGGATTCCTTTCGTTGACAATCACATAACTTCAGGTGATTTAAAAGTAAAAGAGATTGAACAGGTTCAGCAGTAGGTCACACTTAAATACACTTGATCAGAGAGCTGGCTTTTTCTTGGCCATGTTTATTATTCTATGTATTTGTATGTGTTTGCTATATCTTCAGGTAGGGCCTCCACGTGGCAGCAAAACAGGTAGCAGTTCCAAGTCTCACATATACATTTCTCAATAGTCAGGATAATGGAAGTTATTTCCTCTCTTGAGCGTCTTGCCCATAGGTCCCTCTTAGCACATGTGCACTATGTGCCCCGCAATCTCTGTGGCTGGAAGAGTGACATGTGAAAAGTGGTGTGTTGCCGCAGTCCGGCTGCAGTAAAATAACCGGGGGGTGACGAACAACTTGTGTAGATTGATACAGCAGGAGTGGAAGCCCTTTATTGTAGGACAGGAGCGGTATTTATACATTCCACACAGCTTATCTAATTAACATAAACTTGATACAGCAGTCAACCAATAAGGAATCTGCACACTTAATGGCTCGCTGGCGTTACTTCACAAACCACTCCCTCTGGCAAAATGCCAGGCGCCATCCTGACTTGTTTACAGACTCTAACAGTGTGTGCTCTTATCAAGGAAGGTGCCCACCTTCCTTGTTATTCACCCCTGGGGTTCCAGTGGTGAAGCACAGGACAGCTAGGAGGGCTGAATATGGAGGCACAGACTGCCATGCTCTTTGTTTCACAGAATCCAAAGGATTAGAGTCAGTGCCATGATGTTCTAAAAGGCAGGGATTGAAAGCCCATGAGGATTTGAAGCTCCCGTGGGCTTCCTGGCATCCTATTCTGCTGTCTTCTCACATTTTTTCTTCCTTCTCTGCTAACTTTCTTTTCCTTCCACAACCTTTGAATGGGATTCCCAAAGTCTGGTTGGAGGTTTACCTATAAGGTTTATCAAGGAAGAAAAAAGTTCCCTCTCTGTTAACATCTAATCACTGTTCTCCACCTTTGCATTGGGGTCCTATGATTTATTTTGGTCATGAGGCAAAAATCCCTTTAGAATACTATGTAGAATATTCTTTTCCTTTCTGTAGTCAGTGGTATCATTTATATATGTATATATATATAGTGCATGTATATATATATATATAATGATGTACATATATATAAGATGACTTCTGATAAAGTATATAGGATTTTTGTTTAGATCAAATTTCAAAAGTACTTGTAATTTATTTAATTAATACTTAATAAATGCATTGGGCAGAATTGATATCCCAATCTTTATTATTCAAATCATAATCCTTCAATTCAATCAACATTTTTCTTACATTTACCCGAATGTCTTAAGGTATATTCTATGTAAGGACTTCTCAAATTGATAAGCACAATTTTATTTTTATGGTTTAAAAAAATGCAATCATAATTAGCCAAGAATTGTATGATTTGTTCTGGATGTTCCTCATCAAAATTACTTTTTTAAACATTTCAATCTCTTCATTGAGTGGGAAACACAAAGAATAAAAGCGTTGTGAAAGACACCATGGTGATGCCAATAATGAGAATCCAAATAAGAGGAGAAATTAATAACCTAGATTAAAGGGGAATACATATTCTCTAAATTTTTAGGGCTATTAACTGAACAGAGGCCTTGCTCTAAACTTATTTTTAAATAAAAGAAATTTCAATTTGTTGTCATTCAATAGTAATTATAGCTCAGACTTCTATTAAATATTTCAAAAAAGACATCTTTTGTTTGGGCAGCAATCAGATTCAATATTATTGTGGTAGAAAAGATAGCCGTACACAGAAAATTTATTTGGCTGTAAATTTTATTACTTAACAGTGCCCCTTAAAGAGGATTGCTAATTTTGTGTATATTATTTTCATCATCTTAATTCACTTTCTTTATCGTTAAATAGTATTTTGCTCTTTTGAAGACTACTAAAACTACTAATGTCAATAGAATTTTTTAAAGAGAATTTTAGGAACAATATTTCAGTTCTTGATATAAATTCTTCTTTGTTCTGCAGGAGGACACAGATCACAATTACTATATATCTCGGATATATGGCCCATCTGACTCTGCCAGCCGGGATTTGTGGGTGAACATAGACCAAATGGAGAAAGACAAAGTGAAGATTCATGGAATACTCTCCAATACTCATCGGCAAGCTGCAGTAAGTGCTTTGGCATTAGGGTTTCTTTTGTTCCGCTACAAAGTTTGTTGGATTAATTGGCATATGAATTGGTATATGGCCTGGTCTGTGTGATCATTTTCCATGTGTTTTCAGTTCTGTAACTGCAATATACATCAATAACTGCATAAAAATATTAAAGACAATAAGAGGATTGTTTTGAATTGCCACCATTAGTTGAACCAACCTTTAATCGGGGATTCAAAGTTAAGGTTCACCTTCTATTATTTTTAATTTTATAATTCATGAGTCAATGGAACTGTTTTTAAAAATTACTTGACTTTGGGGGCTGGGGTGGTGGCTCAATGGTAGAGCTCTCACCTAGCTTGTGCAAGGCCCTGGCCTCAATCCTCAGCACCACATAAAAATTATTAAATAAAATAAAGGTTAAAAATATGACTTGACTTTGGTTGGCTTCCTTTTTATGTGGGTTTACTGTTGTTGGTTTTGGAAAAGATTTCACCAAAATCATTAGTGATTTAAATAACATATGTAGACCAAATAATAGGTTTAAGTGAAAAAAGTCCAGTATAAAGGGAAAGACTAAAATCTAGGAGGCATCAATATGATCATTGTAAGCCTGGCCTTGTTTCCTTCAATAAATGATTTAGCTGTTGTGAGTAACTTCTTTGGCATCTGTTAAGCAGAGATAAAAGGAAATATTCATACCAGCCAAGATATCTACTGACCTTACACAGTAATAGATATCCTGTGTGCCAGCCTCTTTCAATCTCTGCAATAATCCTATGATTTGAATATCACTAACATTTAGTTACTGCGGATCTGAGAACTAAGTCTTGGAAATGTCAGAGAACCTACTCAAATGTCCAACTGGTAAGTGGTGAAGTTGGGATGTTCATGCAGATGGTCAAGCCCTTGCTCAAAATGTGTGTGTAAAATTGGTCACATTTTGATCATGGAATGCACCTTGGTCATCATTTTTTGTTAGATGCCTAATTTAGCATTTTCAAATTTCCTTTGTTTTACTGGCACATCGTCTTTAGTTTAGTATGGCTTCAAGTGAAAACAAAGAGAATTTAGCCTCCTGGATGCTATTATCATTATTGATATAAAAGTAGAGTTAATGGAGCCAGTGGTTGAATTCATTTAGAAAGGCATTGATTTCATAAATGTTCAATATAAAGAGATTTGGCAATGGACTTCATTGTTTATATACAGATATTCCTCTGCTAAGAGATCAGCTTGAAAGAGTTAAATGGAAATTAATTATAGTTCTCCCTGATGAGTCATAGAACTTTCAATGTAGACCACATTTTTTTTTTTTTTTTTTTTTTTTGCCCAGGCAATCCCAGGCAAGATGATAGATTCAGAAATGAATCACTGTATGATTTAGAGCAGATCTTTAAAAGAAGAATTTAAAAAAATGAGAAAGATAAGATTAAGACAATGCCAACCCAGAATTTGTTGTAATTGGCTGCCTTCCCATTATAAGACAGTGCCTACTAGTATAAAACACACCTCCTGGAGTTTGAATGTTTAGTTGTCCACGTGGGGATTCTATGATGCAGTCCAGTCTGGGTGTCAGTCACTGTGGGTGATACCTAAAGGCAGAGGAAAGTTCATCAGGTAAAATGTGAGCTGATCTCTTTTTACACACTGATAAGGCCATCAGTGTGTTCTCTGCTTTCCCAGAACTGAGGTAGATTGTGTGTCCTGTCTGTTCTTAAAAGATTTATTTTTTTCCTTTCTCTCTGGGATAGGTTTTACTTGGTTGTCTTGTGACCTCAGCTTTCTGGTTGTCTCAGGAAGAGTTATGATGATTTAGAGGATCCATTCTTTCTTTTTGTTCCTGTGGGACTGACGTGGTTGCTTTCAAATCCCGAAGCAGGCCTAAACAGAAATAGAAGGATGTTCTTCTTGTAATGTTTCTGGTATTCCATGCATTAATTTTTAATATAATTGTTAGAAACCTTTCTTTGAGTTACCCTATCATTGTTGTTCCTTGATTTCTTGCTTTTTCGTGTGTATGTTTTTAAAATTTGCTGTAATTAGTTATCAATGACAGTAGAATGCATACAAATGGAATATAAATTCTCATTCTTCTGGTTGTACATGATACAGAATCACACCAGTTGTGTAATTATATGGACATAAGATAATAATGTCTGATTCATTCTACTATCCTTCCTACCCTCAGATTATCTCCCCTCCCTTCACTCCCCTCTGCCAAATCTAGAGTGCCTCTATTCTTCCCTAACTCCCACCCTTGTGGTGAATTAGCATCCACATATCAGAGAAAACATTTGGCCTTTGGTTCTTTGGGATTGGCTTATTTACCCTAACGTAATATTCTCCAGCTCTATTAATTTACCATCAAATGCCATAATTTTATTCTTCTTTAGGGCTGACTAATATTTCATTGTGTGTATGTACAACATTTATTTTATCCATTCATCTGTTGAAGGGCACCTAGGTTGATTCCATAGTTTAGCTATTGTGAATTAAGCTGCCATGAATGTTGATGTGGCTGGGTTTTCATGTGTATTGAAGCTAAATTTTTAGAGTTAGAAATCAGTTCTATACCCACTTTGTTATACCAATAGAAGTACCACAAACACATACATACACATGCACACAAAGCACACTGACAAGCCCACCCAAGCACAAAAACCTACCCAGACACACACGGGCACACACTTTGATTTATAGCAGTTGGATTGATATAATTACTTAGTTTCCTTTCTTTCTTTCTTTTTTTTTTCAGAAAATCTTGGAAACCTACATTTAAATAAATTATGTATCTTAAAACTTTAATAAATTTACTTACTAGAATTTTAAAATTTTTTCCTAAACACATTCTCTCTTCAGTAAATATAATTTGTCTGAGCTTCCAGAGTTGTACACAGAAATTCATGTTTCAATACTTCCAGGGTTGGACACCCCACTGTTCTAGCCCTCCCTGGCTCTCTGATCCTTTTCCATTGTTCCTTCCTCCAAATGAATCAGGTTCTTAGAGATGATGACAGAATTGTAATATTAGAGTAGTCACATGACCAGAGGGCTTAGTAAGGCCCTCACACATGCTCTCCCTTAGACACATCACACACACACACACACACACACACACACACACGGCATGTGCACAAAACCATAACTACTCTTCCCTTTGATGTTACTGAATGCCTTAAGCACAGGGGAAAAAAATGTTAAATGGGCAACATGGGTCCACTTTACTGATTAGGTTTGCTCATTTCTTAATAGACATAATTCTTGATGCAAAGCTCTCTCCTAATTTGGCTGGAAACAGGATTTAAATTTAAGCCCTCAGGAAAAGAAGGGGGGGTTTCTCAAATCTTATCACCAATTGATGTAATTTATATGCTCAAGGGCATGCATTCTGTCAACAGATTAGACTGCAAGAAAGGAAAGCAAGATTTGGTTAGAGAAAGACCCAGGGGTAGCTAGCCAATCCAGCTCTGTGTGAGCAAGAGGTGGCAGGAGAAAGCAGGAAAATTGACCTCCCCCAAGAGGTGACTCTCCAGCTCCCCACTGCCTCCCTAGGAATGGGTGAGAAGAGGGTGTAGGAGAATGTCTCCTTGGGAGCAGGATATTTTAGAGAAAAACTCCCCCTCTATCTTTGTTTTCTATTAACTGTGGTCCAAACAGTGTTTTGGAACCTTAGATTAATATTGCAGAAAGAGAAAGGTGGAAATAAAGTCAGAGTCTCCCCATCCTCATTACTATCTTTCCAGAGCAGAGCAAATCATAGAAATCATTGTATTCACATGTCTGCCATGCCCTTTTTATAAAGTGAATTATAATCCTTAGTACTTAGGTTACACACATACATCCCAGAATTTGATTTTATGTTTCTTCAAATCTGTCCATTGTTCTTTTTGTTTAAATAGCATTTCTTAAATCACTATTGCAGAAAAGGCAGATGTTAAAATCTAGTTTGGCAATTGACAAATTGAAGCAAAGATCATGACTACATAAAGAAAGGGAAGTGAAAAATTTCTAAGAGTCCTTCCCATATGGCAAGCAATAAGGCAGGCATTTTATATGAAAATTCTTATAATTATTTGAGTACTTTGTTCTTCAATCAAAGACAAGACAGTTATCAGGTTGCAGATCTAGAAGTTTCTGAGTATAAACCTGAAAAATAGCCTGGGCTTGTTTCTTTTCCTCTCTCTGGATCTTTTCTAGTCCATAGTTTTGTGATTTTTCCTCTGTACTTCTATATCCATATTATTTAACTTATCGATGATCACAAAGTTGGACATATTAGAATTATTATGTCTTCTGAAACTGCAGGTGACATTCTGATTCACAGCTCCCAGAGAACTATCCCTGTCCTGATAGAAGGAGTCTGGGGTTAGAAGTGATAAGACTTTGGCTCCAACACTTATTATCTTGGATTCTGGCCTCTCTGCAACTCAATTTTGTAACTTGTTAGTAAGGGGTAAAAATGCCTGTCTTGACTCCCCCTACCCCAGTGCTATTCCGAGAATAAAAATGAAATACGTTATGAAAGCACACTGAAAAAACCTGGGAAGAATATGATATTGTAGAGCAATGTGATTTGAAAATCCTAATTCTTTACAATAAAAGTGATCAACCATGTCAAAGAAAAGCCAGAGCCTGACAGCAGTTAAAGCAGTCCAGACTAATTTTGTTCAGTGCTAATTTTATTCACAGGGGGAAGAGGTATAGCTATAGAACTGTGCTCAATTCTGAACATAGCATGGGCAAGTAGGGATTTATAGCCAAGGAGCAGAGAGTGGACAGAAAATTACCAAAAAGGAACATCCAGGAGTAAAGGGAACACCAGCTAAACTGACCTGTGGAATTCTTGCTGAAGCCAGGCTAGGGTGATCAAATGTCACCTGAGATATAGTGGAGGACAAGGAACCTGATAAATTATTGAGGGTGAGGATGGGAGCGGTTCTTGCAAACTGACACAGCTGAGTTTTTGTTAGTGGTATTTTTTTGCTAAAACTGGATTTTATGTGAAAATACAC